AATCCAAGATGGCGGCCGAGTTCGAGTATTTTATCTCTGATGATAAATTTAGGAATACATTTTGGGGTACCTGGCTTCCCTGCAGCGAGTCGGCCTTTATTGAGCCATGGTAGATTTCGGTTTGAAATATTATCTAGGCTACAAATTTTCCCCGATTTTTAGGTAATTTTGCAAACCCAAAATGTGGGAATTTTTTTTTTCGACATTCTAACATAAGAGTGACGGGGATCTATAATAAATCTCATCTTAATAGTTTCATGCGATTTTTTTGTAAAATTAGGTGGCAACACTAAGCATACATTTCTGTATACTAATACAGAAAGGTAGGTAATGTGAGGTTTTGTATTGTGACCATTGCAATAAAAATTAAAGCCACAGAATAATATAGTAAACAAAAAGGTAGGTTAGGTTAGGTTTCGTATTATGATCTCTACATTAAAAACTTTGACCCTAGACTAATATAGTATACAGAAAGGTAGGTTAGGTCAGGTTTTGTATTGTGACCATTACAATACAAAGTTTCGCCACAGGATGGTACACGTGAAACAAAAATTCACTGTTACAATAGGAAGTCACCTAATCGTATCAAAACAGACAACTCTACTTGCCAACCAAGTCTATTCGAAAAGAAAACCGTCTGCACAAAAAAAATCAACGACAACGCCTCGCGGGCCTCTTGAGGCCCGCGCACACACGCACCCTCTAGTCTATAATATATAAAGCTGCATTACGGTGACTCACTCACTGATTGACATAGTTGTTCTCCCAGAAGGAGCGTCCGGGGGTCGAGACGATGTATGGGGGAAATGTTCCTTTGGCTAGGGTGACCACGAGAAAATTCCGAAATTTGGGAAAATCCAAGATGGCGGACAAAGATGGCGGCTAACTTTTACAGTTTCGCTCGGATCGATTCCGTTCAAAGAGTGATTTGGCACGTCTCGGCGGGACCCAGAATATGGCGTAAAAACAAAAAATTAAAATCCAAGATGGCGGCGAAAAAATTGCCAAAAACTGGTTGAAAATTTTCTACAGTTTCAAAAACCGAAATTCCCAGGGTAGTTGCGGGGGTGCTGGCGACTCCGGTTGTGGGGCATAGGAAACTCGAAGGACCCGACCTCTAGGGAAAATTATGAAATTTCGAAAATCCAAGATGGCCGCCGAGTTGGGGGCGTGTGAAATTGGTCCTAAAAATCCGGATTATTTTCAAAGTCATTTTTTAGGTACAGGGCAACCCCGCAGCGAGTCGGCTTCTATGGGGCGATGATGGGTCTCGGTAAGAAGTATTGCCAGCGCTAAAAAGAATTCCCGAATTTGGGGTAATTTGGGAGAAATGGTCCAAAAAGTGGGAAAAATTTTTTTCGACATTTTTGACAAAAGAGGCATCAAGGCCTATCGAGAAACATCCCCTAAAGGGTTTTAGATGTGTTTTGTTGGAATTTGCTGGCAACACCCATACATGGTTTGACCAAAATAGAAATTGGGGTGTCTCTCCAAAAACTGAAATTCCTAGGGTACTTGCGGGGATACTACCGATCCCTATTGTAGGCCATTGGGAGGCTGAAAAACCCGGCCTCTAGGGAAAATTATGAAATTTCAGAAATCCAAGATGGCGGCCAAGCTATGGGAGATTTAGTTTTTGGAAAAATTTTGGGATATTTTCAATCGCGTTTTTGCTGCTCATGGCAACCCCGTAGCTAAACGCCACCTACTAACATGGGTAAGTCTCAGTAAGAAGATTTGCCAGGGCTAAAAATTTTCCCCGATTTTGGGTTAAATTTGGAGAAAAGTCCCATAAAGTGGGAAAAATTTTTTTCGACATTTCAAATGAAAAAGTCTTGTTGGTCTACCAAAAATCGTCCCCTGAAGGGTTTTAGGGGAATTTTGTCAGAATTCGCTGGCAACACCCATACATCATGGGACAAATATTGAAATTGAGGTCTAGCTTTAAAAACTGAAATTGATAGGGTACCTACGAGTGTGCTAGGTCAACGCACTGTGCGGCGTCGGATAGCCGAAGGACCCGGCATCTAGTGAAAATTATGAAATTTTAGAAATCCAAGATGGCGGCACAGATAGGGAGTTTTGCTTTTCGGATAAAATTTGGGACATTTTTAAATGTTGTTTTAGGACACATGGCAACACCGCAGCGAGTCGACTTCTACGGAGAGATGATGTCTATTGACACAAAGTATTACCTGGTATGAAAATTTTCCCCGATTTTGGGGTATTTTTTGAGACAGGTCCTAAAAAGTGGAAAAATTTTTTTTCGACATTTCAAACTAAAGAATGATGAAAATCTGTCAAAAGTCATCCCCTTAAGGATTTTTGGTGGTTTTTGTCAAAATTATCTGGCAACACCTCAGATCAGTTTTCTTAGGGAATAGTACAAGAAGAAGTCACCGAGGCTCTACATAATGTATGGACGAAATGTTTCTGTTACTAAGGTGAATACGTCAAAAGTATTAAGAAGTAAAAATCCAAAATGGCGGCAGAGATAGGGGAGTTTTGCTTTTCGGAGAAAATTTGGGATATTTTTAAATGTAGTTTTAGGACACTTGGCAACCCCACAGCCAGTCGACTTCTATGGAGATATGATGTGTCTCAACACAAAGTATTACCTGGTATAAAAATTTTCCCCGATTTTAGGGTAATTTTTGAGATATGTCTAAAAAGTGGGAAAATATTTTTTGGACATTTCAAACAAAAGTACGATGAAAATCTGTCAAAAACAATCCCTCTATTGATTTTAGGTGGTTTTTGTCAGAATTATCTGGCAACACCTTACATCAGTTTTCTTAGAGAATAGTACTAGAAGGAGTCACTGAGGCTCTATACAATGTATGAACGAAATGTTTCTGTCACTAGGGTGAATACGTCAAAAGTATTAAAAAGTAAAAATCTAAGATGGCGGCCGAGTTAGGGTACTTAATTTATGTTGACATTTTTAGGGACTTTTAAAAATTCAATTTTGGGGTACCACTAAACGTTGCAGCGAGTTGACTTCTATAGAGCAATGGAAATTCTCGGTGGGAAATATTACCTGGTCCAAAAAATTTTCCCGATTTTGGGGTAATTTCGAAGAAAAGTAAAAAAACGTGGAATTTTTTTTCGTCAATTTGAACAAAACAGTGATAAGCATTGGTCCAAAATTATCCCTCAAAGGGCCCTAGGTGGTTTTTGTCAAAATCTCCTGGCAACACCATACATCGATTTTCATAGTAAACCGTACTAAGGAACTCTTAGGTGTATGTAACCTGGGCTCTGTACAATATATGGATGAAATGTTTCTATCACCAGTGTATATGTTAAAAGTATTTAAAAATAAAAAATCCAAGATGGCGGCCGAATTAGGATACTTTATCTATGATGACAATTTTAAGAACTTTTTAAAATTCAGTTCTGTGGCATCATCCCTGCAACGAATTGACTTGTATTGAGGAATGGAAACTCTCGGTGCGAAGTATTAACTAATTTTCATAGTAAACAGTACTAAGGAACTACTAGGAGTCACCTTAGCTCTGTACAATGTATGGACAAAATGTTTCAATCGCCAAAGTGGATAAGTTAAAAGTATTCAAAAAGGAAAAATCCAAGATGGCGGCCGAGTTCGAGTATTTTATCTCTGATGATAAATTTAGGAATACATTTTGGGGTACCTGGCTTCCCTGCAGCGAGTCGGCCTTTATTGAGCCATGGTAGATTTCGGTTTGAAATATTATCTAGGCTACAAATTTTCCCCGATTTTTAGGTAATTTTGCAAACCCAAAATGTGGGAATTTTTTGTTTCGACATTCTAACATAAGAGTGACGGGGATCTATAATAAATCTCATCTTAATAGTTTCATGCGATTTTTTTGTAAAATTAGGTGGCAACACTAAGCATACATTTCTGTATACTAATACAGAAAGGTAGGTAATGTGAGGTTTTGTATTGTGACCATTGCAATAAAAATTAAAGCCACAGAATAATATAGTAAACAAAAAGGTAGGTTAGGTTAGGTTTTGTATTGTGACCATTACAATACAAAGTTTCGCCACAGGATGGTACACGTGAAACAAAAATTCACTGTTACAATAGGAAGTCACCTAATCGTATCAAAACAGACAACTCTACTTGCCAACCAAGTCTATTCGAAAAGAAAACCGTCTGCACAAAAAAAATCAACGACAACGCCTCGCGGGCCTCTTGAGGCCCGCGCACACACACACCCTCTAGTTATATATATATATATATATATATAGATTATAATAGTTGACAACCCTGTTTGAAACAGTCAAATTAAGTCATAAATCAGTCAGTTTTGAATATTCAATCAATTTTGACTGTGGAGCGTAATGACCCGGAATTTTAATGACTTTGCATTTTTTCACGACTAACCAAAAAGGTTGTGTATTGTTTTTTTACGTACATGTCAGTATGTGAGACTATTTGGTTGATTGTAACTGCAGTACTACTTAAATTTCGTAGATAAGATACTAAACATTCCTACCAGGAATGGTATTGCCTTTCTTTTATATACTAGCGACGCGTACCGGCTTCGCATGGACGCATTACAAATCTTAATTTCTCGGTTTATTCAATACTATAACACGCATGTGTTGTACATATAAACGTTACTCTTGAATCACTATTATCTATTGCTGAAGACTGCATTAAAATAAGCGATAAGGTCGCGTTTACTTTAATTTTTATTTATTTTAAATCTGATGAGGGGGAAGGGGATTGTGAGTAATGTGGACGAATATCCCCATTGCTAGCAATGTACCATGTCAGGTTGACCTCCACAGTTCCACTTTGAAAACATCGTAGTAAATTTCAAATGATTCGCTGACTGTCCTGACCTCATCCCCATTTTATCATCCTTCACTGGTGCCCCGCCAGTGTATGCCGTTAGCGAAGACAGGTGATTCAACCCATTATCATTCGTAAAATAATACAAGAGTATATATGAATAAAAGTATGAATGAATGAATAAAAAAAAAACATTTTCAAAGAATACCTGGGGTATCAGTTTCGATGTCAAAGTGTAATTGCGCCCGCGCAGCAATGCACAGTCGGTAGTCGCACGTGTTGCAGCGCACGCTCAGGTGCCACACGCCCACCATGCCGGAATATTGCTCAAGGCTGGACGGATGTGCTGGTATCACTGACAGTCTAAAGGACAGAAGAATGGGAATTATTCTTTCTACGCTATAAAAAATAACAAAATAAGGTATAAGTTGAGGTTCTTGTCAATTCTTCTGATAGTAGCTAGCCGGATGGTAAGGAAAGTGAGTCTAAAAGAAGAATGTAAATTATTATTCAGAAATACGTATAGTCTGTAAATAACAGAATTTTTTTTGGCAGAAATTTCATCTTAAAAAATATATACAAGGGAACAAACATATATATTACTAGACAGACAAAGCCTGTAAAACATGGTTATATCAATATTACAAACAGACTCCAATTTTATTTATATGTATAGATGTATGTAATTACAAAATAGTATTTATATCACTTGTCTAGTACCCATAACACAAGCTCTGCTTACCATAGGACTAGATGACGTGTGAATTGTCAAGGGGTATAGAAATTATTCAAATATTCCGAGTTGATGGAACATGTGGTGATCAACTTACGTGTCCATATTTAGATCAACTCCTGGGAACACCAAGTAGACGTCCCTTGGTGCCTGACCTTCGCTCTTGGAGGCTGGTGAAAAGGCGCTCACAGATGTCTCGTTATACAGATCAATTTGTGGCGCTGTATTAAATGAAGACATAATATGTAGAGTTTTTTTATTCTGTGGAACTTCTATTACGTTGTTTATATAAAGGACTAAGATGTTATTTTTTTTTATTTATTTATTCATTTATTTCAGGCAACTAGGCCATATTATAAATACCTTATAGACTAACATACATATAATATAATATTTATAAACTAATACAATGATATTGTCTGTGTGATCACGGCACTGAAGACGGCAATCTGCCACGGTAGCGCCGATATAGCACACCTTTCGGCCAGTAGTCATCTTTCATGAAGGTGGGCAGAAAGTCGGTGGGGACCAGGGCCACAAACGCTTTGAAACTCGCGTTGTGACTCGGATTTCAGCTGCGTTACCCTCAATGTCAGATTACTCTTGGTACGAATATAATCGATAATGTCCTGCTCCTTAGTGGCGTAATGTAGACGGGACAGGTACATTGTCGTGGTCGGTGTAGCAGCACGCAGCAGAAAGTTGGGCCCAGTAAGTGCAGTGCCACAATGATTATGCTTCTGGTCTTATAATTTCATTGTATGAAATATGAAAGTAAGTGGGTGAAGCTGAAATGACACCCGTAGACGAAATAATAATTGGTAGAGTTGTTACTGCTTCTACCTGCCATTGCATTTTTAGTTCTATTGCTAGTAAGTATATACTTAGTAATTTTTTTCTGTATGTGTGGATAGAAAATTATGCGTGTTTGGTACTGCAATATCTATAAGGTAAACTATTTTATTTTTCTTATCATGTAGTGTTATATCTGGTCTGTTGTTGGTGACGTACAGTTATTTCTGTTATTTATTATTATTATTTTACAAAAATTCTCATCTCCCCTCTTAAGGAGAGGAGATGGCAACTTGCCCCCGGCAGAAACACAGTCGGCCGGGGTTCAGGGCCCCAGGGAGAGAAACCGGCGTACAATGCGGGCAGAATCTAAGACCTCTTATTATTATTATAATTATAAGAGAGAGATCTGATTGTTATTATTATTATAGGATATACTAAGAACAGGTACTTAAACACCATAGAGTGCGTGTGTAAAAATGAGTTTTTTCGCATCAATTTGAGTAAACTAGTTAATACCAGCCGCATGGCGGACAAATTGCTGATTATTATCATTATTCTGAGTAAACCAACTGTGACTCGAATTGCGTTTGCAAGGTTAATGTTGGACCTGTCTTCGCATGGGATTACATGTCATAATTTCACTAACGTGTAGTAGTATAGAACTTCGACGGTTTCAGTGGTCTATCTGTTAAACACATAGCGTTACTTGATACTTCTGATGCTCGCAGGTTGGGTTCCTCGCACGGTACAAAGATTTGAATTTATGAGTATGATTGTTTGTATGTATATACATAGAAAAGACCTGGACCGATACAAACAATGTATGTAAATACAAAAGAAAATCTATGTTTATTTATGTCAGTTGTCTAGTACCCAAAACACAAGCTCTGCTTAGCTTGAACTAGATGGCGCTGTGTGAATTGTCCTGAGACATGGGATAGAAATATCTAGACAGATTTGTGATGTGTGTTTCAAATAATAATAGTTTTAATAAAGTTTTTTTTATAGATTTAATGCATAGTTATAATAAAATATTGGAATTATCTATACCTTCACTATATAAATGATAAGTGTGGGAAATGTCCGCGTAATTTTCGTAAAAAGGGCTACAAAGTTTTTGCTTCACGTATTTCATATAATGATTGTTATAATAATTACCGTCATTTGGCGGGTATAAAACCGCATGCTCCACAGCGCCCTCAATGTAGATCCTCAATGCAGTGACTCCAGAATCCACGGGCACTCCTAAGGATATAGCTTCTCCCCCTCCACGTCTCACAAGAAGGGTCTGAAAACGGGCAAACTAAATGGAACCGTGTTCTTAACTGCTTTATACATTATTGGTTGATTTTGGTTCAAATCTTTCAAACGTGGTCGTGTATGCACATTACTGACATCGAAGAGGTCGTGAGTTCAAATTTCGAAGACATAAAAAAGTATATATGTGCATATTCTTGTTTAATTCTACGATGATGGTAACACCGATAAAAATCCAAAGATTCTATTGTGCTCGCCGTTTTTCAGAGTTCGCTACCTACACCCGTCAGGACATGAATTAAAGGATATTCTTAGGAGTGATGGTTTTTATCTCCTCAGAATAGAGTGTAAACTTTCCAAAGGAATTATTTCGTTTACGCCTAGGTGGGCTACAACCACAGACCGTGTAGTGACGTTCCTCTTCAGTTTAGCAAAATCTGCAGATTTTGTTGTGCACAATGTTCAAGTTGAGGTATGCAATATGTTCATTCAATTTGCCGTGTCCAGTGAGGGGCCTAGTCATGTATATGTTGTTTTTACTCTATAGCAATAGTCTATTGGAGTATTTGTTCGAGTAGCCCATTGTTAAGTCTTTTAAACTCTGACATTTTCTGCCAAAGATT